AAATGAAACAAACAAACAAAACTTTCCTGATATCACCTACATGCTAGGACATGTTTATGGTTTATTACAGGCACATTTTATCTATGCTTCAGAAATGATTAATACTTTATATCTTTTGGAATTGGAAAACATGTGTTAAATGATATTTTGATACTGATTTTAAGGCATATTAGATGCTTCTCAATGGATGTCTGTGTCAAAATGTGACATAATTTTTTCATAAAAGTAGCAAATGTTAACTAAATGTTGACCTTAATACAAAACACTTAAAATGTACTAATTTCCAAACGAGCAAAAGGAGAAAAAGAAGGTTCAGCTACAAATGTATGGCCGAAAAATATTTTTGTTTGTGTTTTTCTTGTGTTTTTTGTAAGAGGACACAATAAAATGTTTCTGAGAAATAAAAACAATATCGTTTTAGACTAATTGGGTCTTTTATTCCAATAATGACAAATACCAATGATTTACATAATTATGTCTTTACAAAAAAAATATATTGTCAAGCATACCTTAAAGCATCTGTCTTAAAATATACTGGTCGTCTTAAGCGGTTAGAAATGCTTTATTTTTGAGTCCTTTATTAAAAATTATATTAATATTGTGTTTTAAAGACTTCATGAATATTATAGCACACTTTTTGTGTACAGATGTTAAAGTCTGCTCAACATTATTTCCTGATCTTTCTATATGGTCATGTATACATATCTTTATAAGTTATAATAAACATAAACTTTCTCAAATATGCGTCAATAACAATATCAAAAAATTATAAATGTTTTGCATTTTACAAAGAAGCATCGTGTATAAAGTACATCTCCGCTTATATTGTAAAATGAATATTTGTGGTTGAATAATTTGTTCCGTCTATAAACATTTAAATGCCATACCAAATATAATAAAACAAAGGTTTGACAATTAACAGAGATATCAAATTAGTCAATGTTTTAAGTTCATGAAACAGACCCTTGAAATATAATGCATGACTGTGAATTGTGGATAACCTTAATTCCGATGAAAACAAAGAATGGAAGAAATCAATTAAAACATAGAATCATACGATAATGATCTTACGCATGCATGACTTTGAAACCATCATCTAAACAATGGAGAGTGAACTTGCTAGAGAAAAAAGTATGATTCTTAAATTACCATAAATCCATTTTCAACATGACTTCAGTAAGTAAGTGCAATTTTACACAAGCGGCGGCGTTGCTTATGTTTAATGGCTCATAACAGTGATAGTCATAAGCGTCATCAAAATCGCTTGAGAGTTTTCAATAAAAAAATCAGATGCAGACCTTTTACGTGTGCGTATTTCAGAGTTATGTTGTACTCTTTCTGTACTTTTTTTTGTTCATACTCAAATTCAAATCAACATCAGGAGGGAGTCCTTTTAGCAAGACTTTCTCTACAATAAGTATGATGTGTCAAAAAAAAATATTGTTAAAAATAATTCCTTATTCCAAAATAGTTCCTTGGTTAGTTTAATTGTCCAACAGAACATATCTGAATTAACCATATATCAATTTTGCTTGTCAGAACAAAATATTGTTTACAAATATGATGATACATATATAGTTTTTGATAGCTTTAAAAAAGCAAGCCTATGATTTCAATACTTAAACAAATGTAGCATTACAAAATATAAGTGACAAGCAAATTCTATCAAGAACTATGACAAACTTCTCTTATCGAGATAAAAATCCAAAATGTATCACAGCCGCAATAAGTATATATTTATCTGTGTAGGAACACAGTTTCATTTAATCCACATATTAAAAAAGAAACATTAACTGTTACATATCAATGAATACACAATCAAGAGTAATTGCGATATGACGTACACAAGATTTTGTGAAATGCTAAGAATATGCGGCCGTCCGACAGTGCAATGTTTGTAATACTCACGAAAGTTGTGAATAAGTAGATGTCCGACAGATCAATGTTTGTAATACTCATTAAAAGTTGTAAATAAGTAGATGTCCGACAGATCAAGGTTTATAATACTCAATGAAAGTTGTAAATCAGTAGATGTCCGGTAGATTAATGCTTGAAATACTCATTAAAAGTTGTAAATAAGTAGATGTCCGACAGATCAATGTTTGTAATACTCATTGAAAGTTGTGAATAAGTAGATGTCCGACAGATTAATGTTTGGAATACTCATTGAAAGTTGTGAATAAGTAGATGTCCGACAGATCAATGTTTGGAATACTCATTGAAAGTTGTGAATAAGTAGATGTCCGACAGATCAATGTTTGTAATACTCATTGAAAGTTGTGAATAAGTAGATGTCCGACAGATTAATGTTTGGAATACTCATTGAAAGTTGTGAATAAGTAGATGTCCGACAGATCAATGTTTGGAATATTATTGAAAGTTGTGAATAAGTAGATGTCCAACAGATTAATGTTTGTAATACTCATTGAAAGTTGTGAATAAGTAGATGTCCGACAGATTAATGTTTGGAATTCCCACTGAAAGTTGTGTGTAGATTTCAAACAGATCGACATTTGTCTTCTTTCTTTCTGTTTTCTTTTTTTTAAAAACCCTACATCGATGGATTCATTGAAAACTATGCAGACATCTGACAAACTGATTTTTGAAATAGCTGGATCCATGAAAAGTTGTGAATATGGAGAAGCTCTAAGTTACAATTGAAAACTATATCGGTGGTTTGAATTTTATGAAAATGAAAAAGTCTGAAATATCGGTGATATAACCGTTGTTAGCCAAGTACAAATATTGAAGTACGTCATCGACTGATCACGATCCACGGGAAGCTTTAAATGACAAAGTGCTGGATAAAGCACAGTCTTGTTTGACCAAAATGTCCGACATATCCAATTTTGAAATACTCCATCGATGATTTGATCTTTCTTGGCTTTCAGAAAACGGACGAGTCTTGTGTTTTCTAAAAAGAAAATCGAAAATAAATTGATTTTGACACAAGGAATATTAAAAAGCAAAATATAACTGTTACGCTCTATTCTAAGCGATTCAATGTTTAGAGTTTTCAGTATCAAATAATAAATATAGAATGAATTAGTATAGATACTGGTCAGACTGCACGAAGGTACAGGCTGGCCTGGCTCTATACTGGTGACAAAGTTTAATAATTATGAACTTTAATAAAGAATCAATAAAACAATTTGATAAGAAAATATATTCAACTTAATCAATTTTTTTAATTGACATTAAACCACACTTTGTTATAATATAAAAGAAACAGAAAAAAATCTAAATGTTCTTAGAAATATAAAAAGTATGATAATTACGCTTTTCTTTCCTTCAGAAACTCCGAAACTCTGCGTCGACTGAAGCCATTTGTATCTCTGTTTTGAAAATGCATCTTTTATCTGCAATTGAAGTCGTGTTGCATTAATGTTTATTTTTTATCAATTAATGTACGTACTTAGCTAACCACGCTTTGTTTGTGCACCCCATTAAATAACTAAGCTATCCAGATTTTAATTTAGAACTCATAAAAGAATTTTAGAATCTGATCTTTTTTTATCATTAGTAAATGTTTTGATCTCCATCATCAAGTCATATTGCAAGAAAATACAATTTATTGGATCGACTTTTTAACTGTTTCGCGGCAGTGCGGTCGCTATATGAACATTTTAAAATCCACCGAGAACAATAGCATTATTTACAAAGATGGTGACAGCATAGCTACAATGGGAAGGGTATAGATTGCTTAACACGGTGAAATTGTTTTGTTTGATCAACTTGAGTGTACATGTCAAAGTCATTGTGCTATCAAGTGTAATTTATTACAACAGTTTAAATGATTTTTAGATATTGCTAGTGTTCACTGTGTCTTACAGATTCAAAATCAAATGTTACAAAAATAATATATACAATTTAATATTTAATAAGACTATTAGACCAATCATAATAATAACAATTTTGGCCAAAAGATGAAAACGGTTACCTTTTTGTCCATCACGCAGTGGAATATGAAGATCAGCAATCCCTGTAAATTATATATTTTTTATTAACTTTCATAAATACATCAAGAACAATAGATAATGTAAAATCTCTATGCGCTTCAATACTGTGACATTGTCATAACATTCAACACACACATTTAGGAAAATGCATGAAATGCATGAAATAAATATAGTAAAAAATACTAACAATCGACCAACAATTCGTATGATAACAGTTACGAATCGGGTCACGTTAATATGTTTGTGTGTGTTTTATTGTGCGTGTTTTTTATTGTTGTTTTTTTTTTTACTTCTAGCATACGTGTAGCTGTTTTAAAACGTTTGTAAAAGTTTGTACCATATTTAAAACCAATTGCCTTAGAATCACATTGTTTGAAAGGGTTGTTAAAGCAAAATTGTCTTGGATTCTGATTGTAGTAAGATTTTATCTAGGTTTGGGAGACTAAGAGGCAATAATCTAAATAAAGGGGCACCTCATTTTTAAACAAAGGTTGTAAGTCTTTACCATCATTTAGTGTCCAGTTTATTTATCATTCATTTAAAACACTGCATTTCTTTCAAATAGTGTGTGTCAGTTTTTATAGAAGAACAAAAGTCGATACTATATCAAATTCCGTTCATAATCGCCTATTTTTCATAATGCTTCATAGAACCACATTAATAAAAATAGTCGTGAAGTAAGAAAGTGATTATAAATAAAGCTTGGCAACTAAGTATGTTAATATTCATCCATAGCTGTTCTTTAGAAATTAGAAACATTTTCCAGTCGCTTCCGTCAAAGTTTCTAATTTCTGTAAGAACAGCTCCGGCTAACACTGACATATACTAAGAGCCGGTATGGAGTACATATCCAGATTAAATCAGTTTGTAGAATTGCTTTTTACAATATGACATAGATATTCTTTAGACTGTTCCATATTCTATTCTCACGAATTACGCATACTAAAGGCAAATTAATGGAGCACGCTTGTCACTAACTTACATAAAAATGTTGCGTTTTGATGAAATATATCACATGGATTTAAAATAATTGATGGATACCTGAAAACTGTTAAGAAGAGCGAATATGTACTGGAAAACAATTGTGTCACTATTCAAAGATAGTACACCAAATCCCCAAGTCAGACCCATCACCGGCATGAGCACCAATATGCAACGTAATGCTGCTCTGAAATGATATGATAATGGTGTTATATTAATATAAGTAGTCAAGTGATCACGAACAGTGGATAAAATTAAAAAACAGTCATCAAACAGTTATCAGTATCTCAGAAATATTAGACTGTTTAAAATTGAGTGTGCCGAGAATTTCAAAAGACAAGATTTGTATGTCTCGTATAAGAAGATGACTTGACATTAAAGGTATCCCTTACAAAGGTGATTCTTTGAAAAGGAAAAACATTCACATGATATCACAAAGCGTATTTTTGACGTTGGATACTGGGCCGCGGTGCGTTACCTGGTAGTCTTATAGTTTGTTCTTTGTATTTAAATAAATTGATATGCTGTTTCTTTTGCATGTTTGCTCACACATTGAAGTATTTAATATCAATAAATTCTGTTACAGAACTCCTTTGAGTATTTTGTATTTAAACGCTGTTGTCCATAACTTACTGGGACAAGCCTCGTATCCATTTATTTATTGATTAATTTCTTTTATTTATTGCTTTTAATTCAGTACAATTGAAAGAATATTTTCACAATATCAAAATTGAAATGAAAAGAGACTTAATTTAAACAAAAGGTATTTGGTATGGTCTACACAAAGCATATATATATATATAGAGAGAAAAAATACACGAACAGAGAAGATGAAACAGCTAAATATAACATGGCATTTTAAGTACGTAAATTGAATCATAAGTTACAAAAAGGCATTTAAATCACAAAAACACACAAAGAAGCTACTGTCATACTTTGCCCGTCCTTTGTTTGATTTCTTCGACATAGCTGTAGTGCCGCACATTGTTCGAATCACTAAGACAACAATTATAAAATTAACCTGAAATAAATTGTTTACAACAGGACAACGTTAATTAATTAATTAATCTGAAAGTTGTACTTAACTTTATTATTTAACCAATTAATTAATTAATTAATTTCAATTATTTAATTTATTTATTTTCTAAATAAATAAATTAATTCTTAATTTATTGATTGATTGATTGATTGATCAATTGATTGATTGATTTTATTTATTGATTGATTTATTTATTTATGTATTTATTTATTTTTTTTAATTTACAGCAGCCGTGTATAAAAATAGTTTTAACTTCATAACTACCTTATGAAACTCGAACTCATTTAATTCAGGGTTCATGATCACTTGGCATTTGTTAAAGGAAAGGTTTGGCCACAGCTAGTAGTATATTCTATTTTTCGTTTTCTTTTTCAATATTTGAATAATACACACATCACGTTTAAGGCAATTATTCTCCGATTCAAATAGTACATATTTTAAAAATGTAGCTCTGGTACTTTTCTCGATGTGCTTGCAGAATTTGTGTCACATATTGTCAAAATGATGCCGCATAGAAAATCCTCAAAGTTAAAATAGCTAATATAATAAAAATTAAATACTATTGGAATCAGCAAATATTTACCTGGGACATGGTAATTGATTATTAGCAAACAATAGCAAATACCAATTGCAGTGTCCCAATGTTACTATAAACAAATGTTACGTGATCACCTAATCTGTAAAATGTAGCATTAATGTTATGATACAATTGTCCAATAAAAATCGACGTTACAAACGCACAAATTATAAGCTGCAGCAATAAATCAGGCAGATGAATTGGTGTTTCGTTATCAACTGGTTGAAAAACTATTGTGAAATTTAATAAGTTTAACAAATATACAATAATACTGTCATACTATGGACATACCAGTATAACAACAAGAACCGGAGCAAGAAACGCCCATATCAATCCAGTTTCAGTCGATAACCAGCATCTGGAACAAATCTGGATACATTTATTTCATTAACATGGAAACATAGTAAATGAACAATAAATTGTATCATAGTTTGGGGACCTATGTGTTTAAAATGTGTCAGAGTTAAATTGTATACATATTAATGCACATTTCGTTAACTGGAGTGCAGGTATTAGTTACTAGCCCTCACTGTCTGTCTAGAGCATGCCTATTGATTAGCTAATTTTGTCTGGGGTTTACATATTGTGACGACAGAGAAAGGAATAGCGATATAAATATAATATTCAGATGCTCGCTCGTTAGTTACTCTTTCTGGGGTTCCATATTGCTACGCCTACTCGTACAAATCAGTTAGCCTCGTGTTTCGATGCTCTTTCTATTACTTATATCATAGTTTGGAGGCTACTTTTGAAGACGAGTCAGAGTTAAATCGTTTACCAATACCTGCACAGTGTGTTAAATGGAGTGAAGGTATAAGTTACCCGCACTCACTGCCTGTCTAAAGCATGCTCGTTGATTCGCTATTTTTTCTGATGTTTACTTATAGGTAAAAGAAATAATGATAGAAGTCATATTCAGATGCTCATACATTGGTTGCATTTTGAGGGGTTTTATATTTTGACGACAGAGACGTGTTTTATTTTTGCATAATTTATACATGTAATACAAACGAGAACGAACACCAAAAAACTCGGCAATCTGATTTATACTCGAAGATACATAGACCGTATATAGGTACATTTTGTTTGGTCAATCAAATACAGAAGTAGGTAAAATTAAACATAAAGTACGGTAACTAAAATGCACCATTAAATAGGTTGATTGCTATTGTTGGAAATGGTGCTAGTTTGGCTTTTTATCTATTTTTTTATGGGTTCACGATTTATGTTCTTTTGGACCATACTCTTATAAATAGTGCACCTTTTTGTTTTTTTAGGTTTACACTTCTGCATTGGTGTTGAATCGTCCTAAAACTCCTAATCGTCCTATTTTTGCATGGTGATTTAATTAGTTGAGGACAATTATACTTCTAATGCAATATATGAACAATTATATAATTCCAAAAACAAGATTTTATGACATAAAGTTTCATAATGCGACCAATACAAATATGTGAAATTATGTTAGCACATATATGATATTAAGTTATAACAAATCCATCAGAAAAGAAAAAGCCTAAAAAGCAATTTACCAAGTAAAAAAGTGTTAAGTAAAATGCTGGAAACTTACGCCTGTCCGGTTCCATATCCCTGTAGCTGTGATGCACCCATAGATATCACCACAATAATTACTGCGAGGACTGGAAATAAATAAATAATCTTGAAAAAATTATCTCATTTCAATATGCATTAACATGTTTAACACATTACCCCCACAGATTATCAACGTGGGCCCAATCCCTACCGCAGGGGCCCACCGATATAAAATCAAACAATTATACAAAAACATATTACTGATACTATTAACAATTATATTCAGTAATATCAACATTCTATTGATAATTTTCAAGTTTTACAGTTGTAAAATATCAGTTGATTAACATATATATGCATATGTACCATAAGACGATATCATTAGTGGCATCCCAGGTTTTATAGTACTTAGTGGTTTGAGAACCGTATATGAAAGGTTACATCCCTCCGTCAGCATTCCGAAGAAAACTATCAAAAACACCAGGTGGAGAAGTACCGCCATTGCTGTGCAAACGTCCTACACATTGATGAAAAGCATATTAAATTCAAATAAAGTGTCAATATCAAGAAAGACATTTCTCTAACAGAAAAAGAAATTCGACAATATTCTATAAGGCATGTAAGTTAAAATAAACAATTGATGTTTTTATCCAAAGCGAAAACCAACTAGCAAAAATGGCGTTTTCCTACTAGAATATGACACATTTCTCTACACATACGAAAGCACAAGCAGAAAAGCATGAGCATCAACTTGTAGGGCGCTATTAAAATGGCTGCAAAATTGTATTATATTATTGCTGAAAACCGTTTAAGAATAAAATGAAAGAAAAACATTTCAAGAGATTAAATTTGAAAAAAAAGATTTTAAGAAAAGTAAAAACTCCAAACTCAAATTTTAACATATTATGTGCGATTAATGAATGATTTTTTCAGTATTGCACACATTTAAACTGACTCACTCAGTAGTGGCTATTTTTGCTTATTTTTGTAATATGTATTGGATTGTGAGTGTTGTTTGCAATGTGTAAATTACTTCCTGTGGTCGCTTCACAATCATTTACTCTGAAATATATTTTCATTACCTTCATGAACATTAGAGTGAATCTGGAGGCATGCTGCTTCAAGATAAGCATTTGATTGAAAGTTGGAGGATAAATCTACCAAGTGTATGACATTACCTTGTTTTCTGTTCTGTTTATCCCAGCAAGAAACAGAATATAAGCTACAATTAACCAACAGGATAAGTTCATATGAATGATGTACCTCACCGATTTAATGAACCTGAAATTATTCGTAAAGATATTACTAAATTTACATTTCATGTTAATAAAGGGAGGTAATTAGAAATTTATTTTCGATAAAGTTTAAGCTAAACTTTGCAATAAGAAATTAATGCATACATTTTAATGATTACTTATAATGCGTATAAACATTTGCAGTACATATTTATTACATATATAAAATTTCACTTAAGTGTTGTTACATCCTTACTTAAAACATACATGATCTTTAACCCATTATACATAAAGACATCAAGTTACAAAATTCAACCACTTTCTATGCACATTTTTCCATTTTCAAGGACTATTTGTTGCACATATATCAGGTTTTTAACTGTCGATTTTACCAATACAATGCCATTACTCCTTACTTTTGTAATTGTTTGTTTGATAGTTTGGGGGTTTTATTCGTTTTGTTTTGTTTTTGTTTCAGTCGTTGTTTTATTGTTGTTTTTATTGTCTAATGACAAATAATTACAAACCTCCAGAAGAATGCATGTATAGCTACATTCAGTACTAGACATATCATGGAAACTATACATCCTATCATGGAAATGATTGACAGTGCCTCCTTATGTTCCTCCTCAATCTGAAAATATATATAATACTTATGTTAAGTGTTTTGTAAAATTGTTTAAGAATTGTTTTGAGTGTGCCCATGCAATGTATATACTATCAATGTGTTTTAAGCTTTTATTTTTTAATTTGAAATCGAAAGGCCAGATTAATTGTTGATATATATGTAACAAATACTTATTTCTGTAATATCTACCTTACTTGAGACAATATTGGCACAAAGTTTTTAGGGATTTTGTTTTTCTCTATTTTAGTAGAGCATTGAGATACATGTAAAGTACTAAATTTTCTTCATAAGAATCCACGAATTCACGCCCTGATAAAGCATAAATGTTTGCCATGTTTAAGCTCAACATCACTACTATTTATTTAGGCGACATTCTATATAAACCGAAAGAGTTAGTAGTTCGTGTGCGTAATAAGTGGCGAAAAAAAATCGGGTTTCTAAATAGTTACAGCCTCGCTATACCACAGTCGCTCATTTTCGAAAACATTTGGTATTAAAATTAATTTACGTTCTTTTGCGACTGTTTATACAAGTATTGACGAAATTTGACTGAAAATTGTTATTTGTCATCCGCAGGTGTTTCAAATGATTTATATGTTTAATTATTTTGTATATCTTCTTCTTGAACTCATGATACTTAAAGTGAAGAATGCACTTTAAACCTCTTCATAAATTGTTACGAGTGCCACTTAACCCATTAATAATAAACAAAAACTAACCTTGTCAGATTCAACGTCCTATTTCGAGCTTGTCACTTAATCATGTGTAAAAACTTGTAAGTTAAAAAGGTTAAATCGACGATACTGTGCTAAAATATATAGTACATACATACCGGTTTCGTGGATGGACTCATAAGCACAGCAAAATTAGTAAGATGGTCGCAAACGCACACAACAACTTCTTCGTCCTTGTCATATTTTTTCAGGCGACATCCCTCATCAGACCAGTAACCCTGTGACGTTTCGCTTCACAAACAAAAAACAGTCATTATATTACGTTTTTTACGTCGAAAGTAATCGCAGTATTGTTTCATTGTCTATTTATGCGGTAAGGTAGCCAAGCGATTAGTATAACGTACACATTCGCACATCAAGCAAACCACGTGGTCATGAAATGATTTTCGCGTGGTACGATATAGCTATCTAATGCAAACGTAGTAAATAAAAGATTTCCTATGTCTCCTTTATGCTACCATTCAAACGTACATTATGATGATATAATTTTGGCAGGTTCTTTGATTATGTTTAAACAGATATTTGCTATATAACCATCGCTTTGTGGTTATATATGCTTACTATTTATATCGGGCAATATGTTTGCCGCATGTTTGGTTTTTCACGCTTGATGGGTACATTTATCTATTGAATAAAAGAATTTTGAAAATGGATTTAAAGGAATCACTGTTCAAAGAGTTCACAACCAACTGTTCGGTAGATAAAGTCACAAGGAATATTCTCAAAATTAAACCTTGGACATTGTCACACCTGTGTGATTATCACCGGCTTATTCAAGGTTCTCTTATCAGAACTTAAACTAATCTTCCCCATTTTTCTTTTTACAAAACCAATGTTTTACTTATTTTTATATACTTTTGTGTGTAAGAAATACACCATGCCTATAATTCAGCCCTACATTTGTCTCAAATGATTCAAACGGTGTGCTTTCTTAAAGTACGAAACAAATTAATTACTAAATAACACAAAATATGGTGGCCTAATTGTGCTAAAAATTTAACACTAAATTATTACATGAATTATCATACTACATGTAACTTTTAAGTTTTCTTGCCCATAAGAAAATCAGAGTCTTTCTATTTGAAAAACCCTGGATGTGAAAGTTCTAAGTTTAATAAGGGTCCATCCGCCCTTTCAGACATTGAGAGTACGGACCCCGGACATGTCACCAATCATGTCCTTTAAAGAAGTAAGTTGCCAAAAGGTGACCTATTAAGTTGAATCCAGTAATTCACTGAATGCGACTAAATATATCTCGGATAGATTAATAATAGGTACTTATCTGATGAATCAGTGTTTTTGAAAAGTAGGAAATTATTCGTCATTTTACTTTTTAGGGAAACATATAAATATATGTTGTATATTTTTAATTATAAACAATAACTAACAACTACTTAATAATAAAATGTTTAATTGCTGACTGGAAGACGCCAATATACAAATTACATCAACACAGATAAGCGTTGATCTGCGAAAGTTTTTTATTCTTGACATTAATATGATACATTACCTTTCTGACTCTTTCCAGAAGGAACATCTCGCATTATCCAACGAATTCTGCATATAAGAAACAACAATTATATTTTAGGAAAAGTTAGTTAACCATTTATTTTTGATCTCCATCAAAATTCTATACGCATGTTTAAAAATACATATATTACAGAAATTTACAAAAAAAATGCCGTTTTGATGATTTATTCCAAGATATTGCATATTAAAGTTGTTAATGAACCATATTGGTGCTAAAACGACTAGCTTACAATCAAATAAAAAAATAAAATAAGAACAAATATGGATCCCTTAATGATAGCCTTGTTACTATATGCTAAACCGGTAGTTTCCTGAAGAATAAACAAAAGTAAATTATGTTTCCGAAAGATACAATTTTTCAATAAATGCATGTATTACAATGTCTATGCATTTATATTAGATTGCACTGTTTTTAAACAATTTCGAACATGTGATATGTGAAGAAAAAAATACTTACGTTATATAACTGAAAACGAATTTCCACTGGGCTTACAAGCTCGCGCTTAGTGTTGGGATAGAATGTAAATGATATCACTGGAGCATTCAGTTCAAGATCTTCGGACCTGATGAGAAACGAGAAAACAATGATTTTTAGGATATCAAGCATAGGCAAGATTGTTATCATATGTTTAAATATCTGACTTAATACATGAACATGCATATTTCAAATAGATATTTATAAATCAAGTTCAATACAATGTCATAAAGTAAGCATTTAAAAACAAAACATAATTTTGTCTTTTCTGTACCACTACCATGCTTGAACCGGAAGTGAGTGGCCGCTATCGCCAGTAAAGAGCCAGGCAAGCCAGCACTCCCTTGCAGTCTGACCAAACTTTACACTGTTGGCTGAACAATTTGCAATGTTCATCTTAATATACTCACATTTGAGAACAAATAGTTTTCAAAATTAGAAATCGGACAACTCTATAAATGTTATAAGATTAACTTGACCATTCTTCATGCATTTTGCAATGTTAACGATGGGCCATTGAACCATACAAATAAGTGAAAATGGATCTCTCTGTAGTACTACAAATATAGAAGTACTGAATATAGTTTTGTTCAAGTAATGTACATACGCTTTTAATAGTTTAAACCAAATATTAAATTTATACATACGGTTTCATCATATTAACAAACAGAGCATTTTCGCGTAAATGTTTAATCAATCTGCCAGGTTATGGAGAGATTTAACTTACATAGTACTGTTAGTGTTGTTAGTTGATGATGATATCATCAGCGATAAATTTCTGTACATAATTCCACTGAACGATTCAACGGTGCCTGCAAAATTCAAACATTAAATGCACTTATTATCAAATATAAGAATAATATAGTGTATTGATATTTTTCAAATAAAGATAGCTAGTGAGAAAAAATAAAGCTTTTAAGAACGTATCATTATTATGATTCAAAGACAGGCAGCCGAGAAAATTATTTTTTATCTGGAAGTTTCTTCCATGTGTTGAGACCGAACGTTATATGACGTCATGTCACGTAGATGCATATAACGTAATTGTTTTACTGTGATATGCTCCGTTCAAATAACAACGGACAAGGCGTATGGTTATAAATACGGTAGTTAATCGACGGAAAATAGAGGTGATTTGCGTGATTCAAACGATCTTTGTTTTAATGTTAATCATTTAGTGTTTTCATGACCATGTTGTTGGGCTGAAGACTGTCATATTTGCTTGAGGGCAAAGGCCGAAGGCTAATATGACAGTTTAAAGCCCAATAACAAGGTCATTATTAAAACACTTAATTATTGACAATTATATCTATTAACTTCACGAAATCTAAAAAAGTTAAGTACTTAGTGAACAAATGATAACTAACGTGAAATCCCGTTGTTGTGAGGTATTGCAATTGAGAATCTTGTTTTAAAAATGTTTCGGAAACCTACCTTGAAGCAATTCAAAATGGCGACTTTTTTCAATGAAAAAAAACAGATTTATCATGCCCGAGTTGGAGAGTCAATCAAAATTCTCCAATCTCATAATAGCCGAGTTTTCTCATAGAGGCCGCACTTTTTGCATAATGGCCTTGTTTTATGTTCATAATGTCGTAGTGAACTTCATATTAGCCTTACATTTGAAGTGAAAATGTGTCCAATATTGATAAGTTAATTAACAAATTCACATATTCCCTTCAAAAATATCAAATAGTTCAACAAATCAAGTAGTCTCATAAAATTTGCATATCTATTCTACTCATACAGTATGCTTTACTTGTAAATAATCTAAACTTAAAATATAATGATGTTTTACAGTCAAAAACTTTACTCTGTTTGATATCGTTATTCTATAATCATATTTTTAAACATGTTATTAATCGTATCATACCGTCACAGTCAATTACGAGCCCGTCTTTCCTTGATCTAGCCCACTCAGATATACCTTCTTTTCCGTGTTCAGGGAAGTTAAGAGCTTCGTTACAGGATTGTACAGAAGCCATCTTTAAATCTGCAACATTATTTAAAATGATAAAATTAACCGATTAATCTACTTATCTATATAAAACACGACATGCATTTTGATCAGCTTATAGTAAGTCTTAACATTTGATATTAAATAGTTATAATAGAGAGTGTTTAGTACCTCGATAACGTTCATTCTAGAGAAAAAGATACCGTTGCTAGAAAATCATTTCTACGCGATACTGCTAAGTATAGTTACTTTGAAAATAAAATTATTTCTAATTTTCAAAAAGGAGGCGTACATAAATTCGACTTTGATATCTCAGCACTGACATTTTTAGATGTTGTAAAGATCTTCTCCACAAAACGATCTGTTGTCTTCAAAACAACGTCTGCCCCAGAACCTGTCTAAATGAAACATAATATGATGAGAACAATATCTGCCCCGTAATATATCTGAATAAAACTAAAAAGAAACAATACATAACCAGCTACACATTAATATATGAGCCGTAACCTGTCTAAATAAACAATCCATAATCTAAACAATGTCTGCCACGAAACGTGTCTAAATAAAACATGTCTGAATAGTTAGACCAATGTCTTAATTTAATTGTAATTTAAAAACTCTTTTACGACAAGGTATTACCAAGCCTGGCTTCTATGGAGATGTGGTTTACAAACTTCTTAGGATCATGGGTCATAGTAATTTTTCTGCCGTCTTCACTAAAATTATCAAACGGTTTATTAAAAGAGGTTATGCCCCAATTATTTTAAGGCATACCGCATGCTTGGTGTTCAACCCTTTTACAGTTGGTCGCTACGCTTTCCTCTTTTGATTACATCTGACGGACCAAGTGGGAGACTCTATGATGGACAGTTCTTAAAGCCCTTTGGGGACTGAATTGTCTTAATGTTCGTCTTCTGCCTTGCTTCGTCGGGCCATTGTAGGTGATTTTTTTGTTGCTCTGCCTTCCTTTAAGGCATCGAGTACTTTGGTAATGGTCATTATGCAGTAACTTTTTCTACATATTTACATAATTTTGTATGTGTTTTATTTATTTTGTCTAATGTAACCATGACCATTGTTAGAATTTCACTTGGCGGGGATTAATTTGTGTGTCATTCAGGAACATATTGGGGCTAAGAGTGAGGTTTGGCGCGCCTAAAACCGGTTTAAACTCCCCAGTGGTTTAACTACCACTGACCGTTCCAAGGCGGTACCCCTTTGTGTTCCTTCACGTGTTTTTCTTGTCTGTAATGTTACTTGTTTTTGGATTTTTACATGTTTTGTGATGTCTGTCTCGTTGGATTGTCGTTTGACGGTAGGTATTTTCTCTTTCCCCCCCCCCCCCCTTCCATTTTTAACCCCCCCCACCTTTTCACCCGTACAGCCTTTTCCCTTTAATTCCCTTATGAGCCTGTTTTTGTTTATATTATTTCACATGTCTCGCCCTTGTGTCCACTCCGGGTGCTTGGTTTGTGCCTTCTGGGTGTCCTGCTTGGGTGTGTCCGGGGGCGGCGTCCTGTGAACGTTGCCTATGCCTTGTTGATCTTTATTCTTGTTATTTTACAAGGAACCTCATACCATAAAAGCATATCATGATGAAAACACTATCTGTTCAGGAAGTGTCAAAATAAAACATTTATCATGTTCAGAACAATGCCTATCCCGGACCATGTTTCGTATTAATGTATGCCCCTAAAAACGTTTTAATAAAGCATACTATGATAAGGACAATGTCTCCCCGGAATCTGTTTATGGAAAACATGGCATGCTGATTGGAGCTGTCTATATAAAACATACCATGACCAGGACAATGTTTGTCCCGTAACCTTTTTGTGTTAGATATTACATGATAATGACACTATCCGTAACTTTGCGAAATAAAATATATCATGATGCCTCTATTAAAAGTGATTTATGCTAGCTTGAATGAAAGTTTGAAGCTGATTTGAATCGCTGCGTTGTACACTTCCTGAACTTACCAGTACTGATGTAAAATGAAGAACTATTGCCGTGACCCCGGAAAGGCTTGAGCCTACGCCCCTGTGTTTTGAAACATATTAACAAAATGGTCTGTGTTTTAAGCAGTAATTGTTTACGGAAACTTTGTAAAGTCAGGATACAGCAAATCGAAATAATTGTGCGGTTACTGCTTGTAGGTAAAAGACCAGAACACACCGAAAATGAAGCTTATACAACTCGGGACAACTACTCTTATAGCCAGTTAACGAAGTTGACTTTGAACAAAGAAAACATAGAAACGTTATTTATAAAAGTAAGTCAGACAGAAATATCAAAATCTGAGAATAAATCGGATGAAATTCGTTATCAGAAGTTTTGCTAGTTATAATAATTGTCTAATATTAATTTATGATAATGTGTAAAATACATGAATCAGCAATTGATATACATGCAGTAAGCAAATGCAAAGATGTTAAATTTGTCAAAAACGTTTAATTAAATTTTCTACACAAAAGCTAACAAAAATGTATGTGACACATACTGTAAAAATACAGCATATTTTGTTGTTGTGGGGGTTTTCCCTAGGTATACAGTTACAATTTTTGGTATAATATTGATTCACAACGCAATGTGTTAATCTCTGTTAATTACCGCAAAGCTAAAACTACGTACACTGGGATAAGATTGGAGACCCCACATTTGTCGAGTTCCTTAAAACAATATAAATATATTATACACATTTAGTGCGGAGGAAACGAGAAGTTTTTTATAATTACCTGATTTATGTTCACCTTCCATGTCTGTGCTGTACTTTCATCCAGGATATTGTTGATTGTTTGTATATATGACTGAAATAAAGAAGATGATATTTCATCTCTAAATATATACCAAATTATCATATGATTTCCACTAGTACTATCTTGTGTTGTATTCATAAGGAACGTTAGAAGTTTAAACTGACAAACATATGCTGTACAGGTATTTCGGTATTTCCATCAGGCAAGCGGGTCTATACAAGCTAGAAACAAATACATAAGAAAAAGGAAAGGAACAAATACAGTTCCCGGAGAGTTATATAGACTATCGCACAATGAATAAAGCTCCCTTTGGTACAAGGTGTAAGATAATAATTTCCGTTAAAGGGCAAAGTAGAACATTTATCAAGGTCATTTGATTTGTAGATGTCAAAATCAGCTGGTACAAAGTTAGACATGTCAGGCGCAGGTGCACTGCTCAATGATATGGCTGAAATGTATCAGTAACCATAGTAATGTTGTTTTTTTCTGTTTTTAAACATGTGTTTGAGTAATAAGATGTACTTACGTCTGTTACATTTTCAATGTTTGTTGTGTTGACTGTTACCACATCAACTATTTGTGAAAGTGTATTAACAGCGACATTTATATCGCCAATCAAAAGTGTATTATTCTCGTCCGTGTCTGATGTCTCATTTGATAGTTCATCCAATACATCAACTATATTTACCCGACCAGTCTTTCTGGCATCAAGTAACTGTAATGCAAACAAATAGCAACTTTTGTACATCTTAAATAGATACAAACAGCAATCGAAATGGTTTTTAAAAAGAAATTGACTACAATTTTAAGTAAACACATGGAAAAGTTAATAAACGAATTCTTGATTTTAAACTACATGTTGGAATTACCTTTTTTAGTACATTTTCGCAGAATTGAACGCGGCATTAACTGATGTAAATATATTTATTTATCTATAATGTACGTTTATAACGTTGCTTTTTCAATGGATAATCGTGACTTTTACATATAAAATTTATTTTATTTAAATTTCAAGTCTTTTTTTGTAAGTTAAATATATAGGATATCGTGTAAGCACTATAGTAAATGACTTGAGGTCTTTAGATACTTTTTGTTAGAAGTTATCATATAAAATTGCGGAAGCTTCTACTAAGCCGCACGATTGTGAAATAAAACGTAAAGGGGATCTGAGATCTTGCTCTGCCATGAAATATAGGAAATAAGTTAATGAAACTAATCAATGAAGTTAATCAACCAAACTTATAATTTTCTACACAAGTTACCTTATTGTAAATGTTTTGAATGGAAGTTTTCGTACAGTTATAGACGGGGTCCTGATAAATTCCAGTTTTGGTACAGTACCTTGTTACATTACCTGAAGAAAATTAAATACTTTGCTACTGTATAATTATAACAAGTTTTAATTGTATGTTATTATTGTGTTTGATGAAATCAAGACTTAAGTTAAATGAATTATTTTTAACGCGGTGATACTTTAAAGTTACATAATAATAGCTTGATTGTAAAATATATTTGACGCAATGTTGAAATTAATAATATTAAATAGCCATGCCAAGCCATTTTAAGGAGCTAGAAAAAAGAAACAATGGCATGACTTTGAAATTCCCATTTTACCGACAAATGAGATTTTCTGACTAAAAGATGACGAGACAGGACAAGGTGGGGACTGGGTCTAAAGGGAGAAAAAACGTAACAGAAAGTGTATTAAATAAAAAAAAAATAACTCCTCATGATACGTGCAAAAAATATTTCAAATTTATTGGTCTTAAATGGGCACATTTTGGATGGTTAATCTAATAAATATTGCCTGAAAAAATGTTGATAAAGTTCTTAGAGATAAACTATGAACATTTATGTGTTGAATAAAAATAATTTGTTCTAGAAGTTTGATTATCTGCTATATAAAGACACGAAATATCGGATCCTGTATCTAGTTCCTTATACAATTACATGTATTTCATGACTTGTTGAGTTATGTTTTATACAAAACTACTATTTACGCAATTATTCATTGCATAACAGACCTTCAATGAATTAATTACTTTTCAACCGTGCAGCGATTTCATTTGAAGCATATTAAGGTTATGTCATCTTAAATAATGCATACAATCTATTATTAAACAGTTTCTTTATTTTTGATGACAAAAATATATCTTAAAAGCTAAACAAAATATACCTCTATATCCAGTCGGGCAACTATGTATAGTTGTCTCTCCTGGGATTCCTGTATCCCATTGGATATGCCTGTAATCAGTATCGCTTAAACATCTACGAACTGAAATAGGTAGGTTTGAGTTAGAAAAAGATGTCCGTAAGAAATCCTGATAGATTATCATAAATATATATATTTTCGCAGTCATAATCTGCATCTAATATCCTGCTGTAAGTTGCTATCATTTAACATTCCGCCTTGTCCATACATTCTCCTGCCTTTTAGTAGGTGCCCTACTGGTTGACATTACGTTTGTCCCGTGTTGGTGCTACATTCTGTTGGAGCTGCGTTTTGTTAACGCCGTTTTTGTTCTCATATTTTTAAATGCCATCACATATGTTTTCTTGATTACATAATTTTCATGTAAAGAAACTTAACCCACGTGTTTGAACAATCATTTTTTAATAAGATTAGACTAATTCAGTTTAAATGAGGTCTAAAAGAAGTAAGTTCATATTCTAAAAAGTGCCCACTAATTTTAAAATTATTCGGAAATATTCATGAAAGCCTTGAAAAAAACTTAAACACTTACATTCAATAGATAAAGAAAAAGTGGTAACTGATGTTGGATAGACTATGTCTAAAGCTTGAACGGTAAGAGAACAAGCCTTGATATCGTTGGGAACTCTTTTTTGAAGCTGGACCGATCCATTATTAGTGATGTTAAACACTGAAAAAAACATTATGTTATTTTTATAGTATTGACACGTATATGGAAAATACATGGCCAGTTCTCATCAAATAATGTACATACTACCGAGGAACACATGCGTCTTCCTTATACAAACAGACTGCAGAAATTTGTGTATGAAAAACGTCTATGATTCGGACCCTGGCTTCGGTGAGGAACTTTTTATTAAAAACATTTTCTGTAATCAACAATATGCTACTTAGCATATTATGCACCTTTGGGTAGTCATAACATTATGAAGAGTGATTCATCTAGAATGGAAGGAAATTATTTTAGTTATGATGAAATACGTACAATGTTCAACAAATTAAAAACGATTGTACAAGTCGTCACCTTAGTCCAATAACGTAATAAGTGCCTTTCTTTTAATAGCATTTATTAAGTTATTGCACTTAGATAAGGAACTGTCTAACTTACGGTTACAGCTGTCTGAACTCAAAGCGTAGGTAACCTCTTGGGAGTAAAATACTGCACTGACGTAGTTTCGGGCACGGCAAAAATTGTCTAAACTAGTAACCGTTTCACCCTTTCTTGTCATATATGTTTGGTTGTCTAAAGTAGGATTGTTGCAAACTGGTTTGATATCACCGATGTCTGTGACTGTGACATTGATAACTGAAATAGCACTTAGACCACCGCCGTCCCTTACCTTGAAATACAAAGACATATTTTGACAAGCAACTCTAGGAAAAAGAATTTATATAGGATTGAAAAGATATCAGAAAGGCCATGCCCGAGAAATACTTCGGTTATATAATAGGAAGATGTACATGGATATACTTTATTATTATTAAAAGCAGGGAACAAAGTAAGAGCCGACATATACGCCATGCAAGTGACTTTAAGCCGCGGCCGATGCAAACGGTCGTGGACGGTAGCTTTCACTTTCCAGTACCGTCTTTAAACAAACTAAATCAAACCGAGTCTGAAATTAAATTCAGTTACGCCGTTTTAGACGTTCTTTAGGGTATCATTTTTTTCTGTTTTGAAACAAATACATCATATTCTCTTATTTTTTTTAATTTCGAATCAAAATATTAAGAATATGTTCTATGAAAGTCTGTATCAAAGCAAATAAGACAATAAGAGAAATTTCTAGGTACTTAAAGATAAGATATATGTTTTCAATCAAAATCAGTCATACATTAAAACTTCAATGGCATATTAAATTTCAATATATATATTTATGAATTAACGATAAAAAAAATGCATTATTTATGCACGTTGAAATTCGTTAAATAAGAAACAGCTCTCACCAAAACATCAAAAAGGAAAGTAGGTCCGCGTGTATTTTCATTTTCACTGTAAGTCTCCTCACTGAAAATAATTCCTCGTAGTAAATTTAAGCAAATAATAATTTATAAAAGATAAAGGCAATGATGAAGTAAGCAAATATTTACCACTGAATTCTGCTAAGGCCGGTGTTGTAGGGCTGCACGGTAACTTGCAAATACCGTCCATGAACAGGCTTTCTCAATTTGAGCCTACACTATTTCCCGTTTCACCGTTTTGGACGTTCCTGAGGGATTCTTATTTTAAGTGTTTGCAAAAAAATGCCATACATTTGAATATTACAAAGTTATATCTTGTGTAAAAATATCATTAACTTTAAAAGCATGGTTGTTTCCAAAATCTCAATTCTAGAAAGAGTTGTAACAAAGTCTGCCTCTGTTACTCAACCGTCAGTAAACAGAATAAAACATTCTATAACAAAATATTATGCTATTCCAAGCAGGGTTTTTAACAGCCCACCATACGCTAATGGGTTTGAAAGATATTTCGTAACAGATTTCTTTCATTCTTAAACTTTGGAATATTTTTTAATATTTTTTGGATTAACCATTGTTTTAAATTTCACAGGTTATGATTAGCAACTGTATGTACTAATCAAAAAGCAAATATATCATTCAACGGTGTATTAATATAGCATTAAATGCAAAAATTCATAAGCTGGTATTTCTTTGACCAAAACGTATTAGTAATCTAATAAATATGTTAATGCTTACTTTTATATCCAAAAATGGTTAAACTACAATGTGCTAGAAAGTTGTCTTAAATATACAAATATACGATTTACCTGTCCCGGAATTTATCCGCATCCAGCACTGATGCTGTCTTTATTTGGATTGTATCCTTTGATATTCTTTCTACTTCAAACAATCTATTTGCGTCTATATCTAGAAAATAAATTGGCTATATACTTATAAATCTGTACGTACTTTTTGAAAAGGGACATGTTTCCTTTTTTTCTTTTTTTTTTTTTTTTTTTTTTTTTTGGGGGGGGGGTGTTTTTGGTTTTTTCTCTTGGGTTTTGATTTTTTACGCAATGGATCCGCAAAAAAACCATATCAGTCCGGACCAGTTTTTAATTCACTTTTTCAAGGCCAAACATTTTATGTCATCGACTTTAAAGCACGTATCCATCATTGCTGAGGGTTCAAACGCAGCTTATAGCATCACATTCGCTTGAACAGAATTATATATTAAGTTGGTTGAGCATAGTATTCCTTCAAAACTGAATCAAGAGCTGATATGTGATATTTACGATAAAGTTTTTTCGAGCTGAACTGTAAAGATGGCACAAAATTAGACTCAATGAACATCAATTATTATATCCTGAGCTGATGTGTACGACATTCGATATTATATATCAAGGGTTAGGTCCTACAACATGTTGTTTGGAGCTTTAAACAAAAAACAAACGTGTAGTCTATAACTAATGGCGGCAATTTAATTGTAAATATTCTGTTTTAAAGTCAATCAGCAGCAATCAAGCAGCCAAACCATTCTGCGAATTGAATTTTTTTAGTAAATAAGCTCACGGTAAAATATTTCCAACTTTTTAAGCATACAATATTGCTTTTATATTCGGTTTGTAAACTTGTTTGTCGGCTCAATTGATGTTTGAATTAAATTTGTCAGAATAAATAAATTGGAAAATGTTCTGTTGGAAAATTAAACGTGATGTTAAACTTTGAAGGTTTCATAAATGTTCCTATAGATGGAGTGATTCCGATAATCATACAATTATTTATCATTGACAATGCATTTCCTTTGCAGAAGTTTTTCTTACTGCAGTGCACCGGGGATAAAGATTGAAAACAGTGTCGACGGAGCAAAAAACAAAATTGAAAAATGAATCTCAGTGCCGCCAAAATCAGTTCAAATATTCCGTTTAAATCATACAATGCCGTTAAGTGAACGAAATAGAAATAACTTAGGATACACTTTGCTATCTACATCATCAATTTTTACGTCATCTTCATAGCAATCAACAAACATTACTGTAGATATGATTTTGTTGTTGTTGTTGTCTTTTTTTTCTAAATAAATATGTATCTTACAGATATTAAAATATGCATTATTAAAGTATCATGTCTTGTTTAAAAAATATTTACTGAGACGAAGTGAAGAGGGGGATAGGTTTCTTCGTTTTATGCGAGGGTATTCTCATCAAGGTATGCAATTACAAGATAAAGTGCCAAGAAAAATTGACATTTAAATGTTTAAAATACTAAATATGCATTAATATGTGACACTAAAATTATTCATATTTTGTATCAACAAGCTTTCGTTTATCTTCAGCACCAAGAAGAAAAGCAACTTTTCAAATTTCTAGACATGATGACCTTTTGAAACACGCCTGAACAAAGGAATATCAATGTTTTAGAAATGAAGACTGACCTATTCCGCAAAAAGGATTGAACTCACTGATTGCGTGAACAAAGACACTAGTCGATTGCTACGTGTAATGGACAGTATAACAGTCTTAGCATTTCTTCCAAAACTTCTACCACGAAGTTTCAGAAACAGATAGACGTCGGGAGGGGCCAAGTCCGGGGAATATGGGGGATGTGTAAGAATTTCAAAGCCGCAGTCAGTTGCAACAGCCATCGCAACTTAGGATTGTGAGCTGGCAAATTGTCGTGCAGGAGCAGAACGCCTTGAGTCAGTTTTTTCATCCTTTTACGCGCGGTTTCTTGACTCAGACGTTTTAATTTGTCTGCATACATTTATGGTACGTCCTTGCTCAAGATCATGATTATCCAAAGACTATCCGAAAAAACTCAAAGCCATCATCTTCCTTGCTGATGGCATCGTCATGTTCATTCTCGTAGCGAGACAAAAGATAACTTGAAATGTCAAGCCTGGTCCGTTTCTGGTTGTCAGTCAACTGTCTGGGGACCATCTGCGGAAATTTTTGACATGCCATAGGCATCAGTAAGAATTGAACTGAACAACAGCTTATATTCACTTCCCTAGGCAGTTTCATCGTTGGTGGCCATTTGGGCCGCAGAGGCCGCTCATCATCTCCATTGCTTTCCCTGTCCCTCCTAAATTCAGCAGCCAAATTCTTTCACAGTGCTATAGGAAGAGGACTCCTTCCAAAGTGTGTCTATAAAATTTTCAAGGATTTTCTTGGGGGACATCCCTTTCTTAATCAGGTACTTAATGACGGCTTTGATTTCAACTTCTCAATTTGGTCTAAATGACACACCCCTCTACTGAAGAAAATGTATGGTTTATGTTTCTTTATCTGTGTAAAACACCGTGTAACTGGGTCAGTAATCATCTAGAACATATCGGTATCGACGTATCGTGTAAAAATGTCAGTGTAGTGGCATAGTGTAGTGATATAGAAGTATATCGGCTCGAGAACTTTTTGAAGATACCTCGTACATAATACAATTATTCCAAGAATATGTGAAAATGCACAATAATTTGGTCTAGCGTAAAATTTAAGTCTTTTTTTTAAAACAGGAAAGCAACTATTTTGCAAGATTTGACAAAATAATATACTATTGTATTTTCTTAAATTCATCTAAACAACATTTCAGTATATTTCGGTAATAGCATGTGGAATAAAAGAGATTTGCTTATAAAATATCTATCAGATGTGCGCAATGGAAAAAAAATGAATAAATGAAAATAATATATTAAGCTTACATTTATGTAGTTTATTTAAACAATACTTCAGTGAATTTAAGAAGCCATTACTTCATTGTGTTATTGATCAAATAAATTTACCTGTGTAACTTTTTAATTCAATCTGTAAATCTCCGAATTTTCCATCATCCGGGTCAGATATTGAGAGGTTGGCTACTATTGTACCGACTGGTACATCTTCAGGTACTTCTGTTGTAAGGTAATCTGGTAGAATAGCTGGTCGGTCATTCACTTCTTTCACATCTATTCTAATTGGAACTCTATTTACTGTTACATTCTTGTACGGCTCTTCCAGTACACTGACATGTGTCTGTTTTCAAATAAAGAAACATGACAGAATATGGAGTTTTCAGATTTTATATTAACATCTGTGAACATCCCCAGATGTACATTAGTGCAGAAGTTCAGTGACGGACACACACTGGCCGTTTGCAAACAAGATTTGTTATGAGATATAACTGAAACGTTATCGTATCCCGTAGTGCAACTGCAGGTGTTTCTGTGCCCAAGGGATACACTTTATACCACTCTGCGAATCATTTAAAAATAGTCGTTGCCATAGATTATGATAGTGAATTTTACATGCCAACCGATCGAAAATCCGTATCCTTCTCTCATCCTTTTAACGTGTCTTCAACATTCTTATATTAAACCAATCAAGGCAAATTCGTTGCGTATTAGATGTATCATGGTTATATACATATTTTAACAAAAATCCACAGGTCATTTTCAATACAGCGCTAGAATTATGATGTTGCATCTGGTGATATTTCACAGCATTCGTTTCAGACTTGATTTTATTCCATTTAACAAGTTTTCATGCAGACGAGTTTATTCAATTTAAACGATTTTGTCTCTTGATAAAACTAAATTAGATTTAGATATGACAATAAATACAATAGTTCAAAAGCGCAATAGCAAAAGGTCAATATATAATGCCTTTTATATTGTTTAATTTTTGTACCACAACACCAAAAAAAATGATCGGAGAGGTAATATTCACTACGTCATTAGGTTTATATTGACGTCACGTCCGATAAGGAATAGTGTGAAAATATTTGTATGCTGTTGTTTTTGTACGCAGTTATTATTCATAACTTATGAATGAAATAAAAGAAAGGCGGTAATATAACACTTGTATTGATTGTTAATAAAATCATAAAAAATAATACTAAAAAAGGGAAAAGAATAATACTAAATCGAAAAAAACATCTACTTACATTCCAAGTATTTATATTTGGTGCATTTTTTATTGTTAATACAAAGTAGTTTAAATGTCCAGATTTCACGTTTTCTATCATAAAGTATCTGTGTTCGTTATATGTGATGTCTAACCGAAAATACACGCTAATGTTGATCCAGTTGTTGCAGAAGAAACTAATTCTCGTTGAGTTGTCGCCTTTCGGAAGGTCGTCACTAATTGTAAGATGTATGTAATTTGGCGTGCACTCTAAAATAAAGAAAAGAAGAACTATAACTTACGTTGTTCAGACATTCAGCGTTGTTTTACAAATAAGCGGTAAATATTTAACCTACTCTAACTAGAAGTCATATTTGATGCCAGTATAAAATAGAGAAAAACAGAATCCCTGAAGAAAGCCCAAAACGGCAAAATTGTAAAATGTCAATTGTAAAGCCAGGTCCGAACAGTTTGATAACACTGTTAGTAGCTAGATAATTATTTGTATTCAGCAACTGAAATCTCGTGAAATGCAAATAGAATGCTCTAATTTTATAGCGCTTATATGAACGATATACCATACCATTATCATTTTATATAGAGCAAGGCCTACTAGAGTTGCGCATTGTTGAACATTATATGCAATCTGAGAACCTCTTAATTATTATTCAAAATAATCTCGAACTTAAGACGGACTAGGATTGTAAGTATTTCTACCACTTGGCTTTTGATGTAAAAAAAACTTTATAAATTGTATAACAAATGTATATATTAGATATCCTATGAAAAAGAAAGTCTTTGTCGGTAAAATAATTATTGAAAAAATGTCTGACATTGATAACCAATTTAAAAATGCCCACTGATGTACAAATATAACAAATTCCGAATTATTATTCACAAATTTTGTACTTTCAGGTTCTCCACAAAATAATAAGTATATTCGTGTTAATGAAGTACAGTTAACTTTTATATATACAGATTGCCTTAATGTAGGTGGACTTTATACCAATTTCTATTGATGTTGTAAGCTACACTCTGAAACACAAGGTGGACTTTACACGATACATTTGAATAAACTAAGTCAATAACTCCAAGTATTTAATAACTATTTATTTGTTTTACATGTTTAGTTTATTTCCGTAGGCTAAATCGAAATGCCTTATACGTTCTGTGTATTCCTAATATAATGTTGGGGGTCATTGTCCGAATTTGGATGGAAAGGGCAGAGTAGTTATGCAGATTGAACCATATGATATTTTATAGTTTTTGATTGTTGTAGTATTATTACAACTAATAATAGCGTTTCAAAAAATGCTTGGAATCGCTGTTCAGCCGGAAGTTTGATTTTATCTTTATATTATTTATTTATTATTTACTTCTTTTATTTATCTGTTATTATTATTATAACTATTATTATTATTATTATTATTATTATTATTGTACATGAAAATTGTTTTCATTTCTATATAAGGTAACCCATCAAAAACATGGCGGATGTCGTTTCCGTATGTGCCCCTTTAGGGGTATCTTGTCCATTTTGTTATCATGTGGTATTTGATTTTCCGTTTTGAACGATGTACGAGTAGAAATGGTCAACTCTTATTAATTATATATGACGTCATCCAGGAACGGCGACATTAAAAGTATATCTATCTACAAGGTGAAAGTTACCCATATTGTTGTTAAAATAAACCATAAACTAAAGCGACATAGTTTTCTTTATGATAAATTAATTTTCCATTGAACAATGAACAATGCAGACCATGGTTTATAAAAAAGATTGAAAAGACATGTCGATGATACAAACTTGAAATGTTACAATGACCTTGATCTTCAGCAGCATTGTCATATAATATGCACGTGCAAACCCTATAATATAATCTCCACGAGTCTACTGTATTACATAATCTATATATTCACTATGTTCAATTTTTTATTGACGCTATTTATTCATATTGTGTCCGACTATAGTGTTTAGAGTTATAAACATTACATAATTACTTCTTGTGAAGTCAAAACATGTTTATTTTATATTTACAAAGAAACTGTGTAGTAATTATCAATATTTTTCAATATCAAATTTGAGCACACTATATCTTTAAGTAATTTCGGTTCATCAATTTACATGTATTGTACTATTTTCAAAAAAAAAGGGTTAAAGCATGAATTTCAAAATGGTTTCCAGTTTGATTTCTTAAGTTAAAATTATTTTAAACATGATAAATTGAAAATATTATTACGAATGGTACGTCGCTTAAAATGAAAGCTTTTCTCTTAATATAGCTATCGTTTAGTATGGTGTAGAATTAAACAGGTAAAAATGAAATCCGTCAGTGGAAATAGGAAATAATTTCCGCTTCAAAATCTTTTGACTACAACTCTATATGCATCCCAGTCTCACCGGTTGGACAGGTGGAAAGAGGTCTGATGAAACTCTAAAAAACGGACAACAAATAGATTAAAAATTTAATAAGTTTTACAGTCCTTTTCAACTGAGAAAGGTTAAAAAAATGAAAAAATGAGATCTTTTTCTTACTTTGTGACGTTATTTGTCCCTTTTTAAATTAGCCCCAAAAATTTTCGCAAATAAAAAGAAAATTGGGCATATTTTTGGTCTTTTCTGTAATCAATTGGGGTTATCGGGGTTAGTTTTTTGAAAAAAGTGTTGAAATGCTTTTTTTGTTTGTTAATTTTTAAAGTTCCGAAGATTTTATTTGATTCCCCTTTTTTTAGGTCGTTTTCTACCGGTTTGGGGGTCTTTGGTAAACTTTTTTTTGTTTTCTTTTCGTAGTTTTTTTGGTTTGTGTTTTAAAAAATTTTTTAATGATCGGCCCCTTCTTATGGTCATTCAGATGAAACCCAAAATATTTAAAGATAAATTTCAGCTTAATGTTTTTTTTTTCAATTATAATGCCGTAATTGGTTAAAAAGATGTGATTCGTGGTCGTTCAGATAAATAGAAAATAAATCATGCTGGTGACAAATTTCCCATTGGCGTACCCCTAAATTACTGAATGGAATTAAATTTCGTTTACAGAAATACATTATTTAATTAATGAATACATGTTAAAGTTAATGTTACAAAATTTTCCATCGATCCCATTCTTAATATATTTGCCCAATAGGTCAGACATCCATATTTTATCAAAGGCTAAAGAAAAGTCATTGAATGAGCAAAACAATTTCTTTTCCTGAGATTTTAAAACATGTTTATTGATGGTGTCGAGTTATTCTTACAACAGGATATAAACTCTTTACTTCAATTAAATGATATTATTCTTTTGCTTTTACTTTTTGCCGATCACATGGTTGATTTGGGTGATTCACCAAAACAAATTTACAAAAGTTTAAATCTTTTTTCTCCATATAGTGATATATGGAGTCTGAATATATAATTATATATATATATATATATTGATAAAATTAAAGAAAACGTTGTGGAGTGTTATCAAATGAAGAATTTTTTGTATAATGGTGAAACACTCATAATGTTAGTAACTTTTATTAACTAAGAGTTGTGTTGAATTACACGGGAACATGTATAATTATATCAAAGTAAATCGACGTAATAAATTTGTCTGGCCAATAGTAGATAAATACAGTAATGAAAAACAAACCCTGGCTTATTCACGCACGTTCGTGTACTTATTCGTGCCGGTATTTTATTTTTTATTTATTTATTTATCTATTTTTCTGTTTTAGCGGCGAAATTTTATGTGCGGATTATAAAGCGGGAATTTTACCAAACGGACGAGGTCATCATCCTGGCTTTAAAGATTCACAAATTAAAAGTTCAGCTAATGACATTGACTAACTACCTCAATTTCATAATTCTAGTCCGTAACATTCAGTGTATAGTTCATTTTAAAATAAAGACTTTTTAAAACGAACAAACACCCTTTTTTGCAAATTAAAAAAAAAAAATTTTATTTACATGACCATAAGTAATGTGTCTTCGTGATAGAAAACTTCATAAAAAGCATTATAAGATTTAGGCGTTATATATTAGAGATATAAAGGTTTCTATATAATGTTGTTATTTAGATTATAGAAGTTTGTTATCTTATCAATCTTAAGAAAAAGAAAAATCATTCACACACGAGGCTATCTGAGGGGGCTTAGACCCCGAGTATAAATCACATTGCCCAGTGTTTTTACGTTCTTTCTCTTTTGTATCATAAGCAAAAATGAAAAACATTTTCCTGTTGTCAAATATGAAACCCCCAGAAAAAAGGAATCAATGAACAAACATCTGAATATGATATTTCTATGGCTATCCCTTTCTCTGCCGCCACAATAAGTTAACTTCAGAAAAAAATGAGCCAATAAATGGGTATGCTCTGGAGTGCGGTTACCTTATACCTACCTGCACTCCTGTTAACGCACAGTGCATGTGTTTGTTGATGATTTAAAAACTATGATACAATAGAAATATTATGGGGTATAATGTATTAATTGTATGCGTGTCTTGACGACGCATTTAAACTTTGCAGAATATAGTCCCCGTTAAGACTGGCATTGAATGTACTTTCTTTTAGATGAGTAAATTTTTTGTACATTTTGAAACTAGACGATGCTTTCTGATATCAATAAAATTATAAGTATGGTATTTAACGTTTAACAAAACTTGACGTCAATAGAAATTCATTATTTTACGCCAAAATTTGCATCATTTTATATTACGCAATAAATAATCTGTTAACAAGAGTAATCACAAATAAACTTACCATTAATTGTTGAATTTTCTGTCGGAGTCGTAAAGGTTCCAAATTTAACAAATATGATGTGTATTAAAGCTATATTCACAAAAGACGCTAAAGTTAACTTTAACATTGTATGAAGATTTTTAATCAGAATTTATCAGAACACCATCCAGCTTGTTTAATTTAATTTGAAGTTGGCGTGTTTAACACGAATGCTTTTATATCACTGCTTCATAGATAGCAATGCAAGTTCTACATCATGTCAAGGATAAACAACTTTTATTTGTTTCATGTAACTCTATAGTTGCAGACATATATATACGAATGTATGATTGGTTATACAGATTTTTAATTTTAATCAGAAGTTATTATAGCGCAGTATAAAAAGTTGAGAGGGCGCAGGAGGGCTCATTTAATGTAACAACCAAATGTAAAATCAAGGCAAAATAACGTATCAAAAAGTTTGATTAATCATTTATAAACTTGACTAACTGTTTTGTTTTATTAAGATTAAAGTTTATGCCCAACCCAAATTTGCTGTAGCCATATATTTAAAAAATATAAACC